ATTTTCAATAAAAATATTTTTTATTTAAAATATTTTAATAAAAATTATTATTATTAAAAAAATTATTTATAAAAAAATATTTTACCAGCCAGGGCCAGCGACCAGGCCATGGCAAAAAAAAATAAAAAAAATAATTTCAATAAAAATATTTTTTATTTAAAATATTTTAATAAAAAAATTATTTTACCAGCCATGGCCAGCGACCAGGCCATGGCAAAAAAAATAAAAAAAATAATTTCAATAAAATATTTTTTATAAAAAAATATTTTCTCGGCCATGGTCAGCGCCCGAGCCATGGAGAAAAAAAAATAAAAAAAATATTTTCAATAAAAATATTTTTTAGTAAAATATTTTTAAAAAAAATTATTAATAAAACAAATTTTATAAGAAAATTTTTTACCGGCCATGACCAAAAAAATAAAAAAATTATTTTTAATAAAAGTATTATTAATTAAAAAATATTTTACCGACCATGGCCAAGAAGGAGGAGAAGAAAAAAGAAAAGAAAGAAATATTAAAATATTTAAAATGTTATTAAAATATTATTAATAAAAAGAAATTTTATGCCATTACCAAACGCATTTTTGTTCCCGGGCACAGAATTTTGGACAATTATCAAATGCCTTTAAATGTTCAGAATCAGTTCCCGGACACAGAATAAAAAAGAATCATTTCTGACCAGAATCTGTTCTCGGGCACGGAATGGTTGCCATGCGCAGCCTAAAATCTAAAGAGACTTTAAAGGGGCATAATGTAGGCTAGGTTTATGGTTTGAGAAACGAGAGGATTCGTTAGGCTCAAAGATTTTCATGGAAGGGGTTTGAAGTTGGTGATCATCTCGGCATCATTACCAATCTTCTCTTTCATGAGAGTCCAACACTAATCTTCACAAAATCGCAACCTTTTCATGAGGATGATTTTTGCAAACTTGGCCTTCAGTCTTAACAATTGGACTTCAATATTTTTTTCTTTCACTCTTTTTTTTCTTTCTTCTTTCCTTTTCTTTTCTTTCATTCTTCTTCTTCTACTTCTTTTTTTGACTCTTTTTCAACACATTTCTTACGGTGCTCCAAAGGACCCAGCTAAATGTGCTGTCAACAATTCAGTTCTTTTGAACTCTCAGGGTTTTTATCTACAGTCCATGCTCCGAATCATGCTGTCTCAATGTAGCAACTCATTTTCCTCGCCCCAATGTGGGGGATGATCACACCAAACAGGTTTGAGAAATGAATTTACAAGCTCAACTGGGTTACGCAATGGATAAAAGTGTGTATGATAGAGAAAGAAATGCCGTGACATTCTAAATTTGAACCAATTTTTGGGATTTATGAAATGAATATTTCTTCAATGCGCTTTCAGTGAAATCTCGCTCGAAATTGATTACTCTCGAGTAGACTAACCGTTAGGGAATGGCTAGCTAGGAATCAAGTACGTGGACATAAGAACTTGGCCATGGATTGACACTTCAACCATAAGGATTGGCAAGGAAATATTTTGGGCCGTTAAAGGCCGATCTAAAGATGGTTATGGAATGATTCGCAAATGTCATGCAATTGGATCGCGAGTGATTCTGCTTGGCCATTGTATGAATTTCGATTGATCCTAAACCTAATTCGAACGATCGCGTCATTCGGAACTAGTGATTGACCCTCACAATTACATGACAACCGAAGTCGCCATGGCTCGAGTAAACTTAGATGTGGCTCGATATCGAATTGGCCACGAGTTGATATGCGTAATTCCTAAAAGTTGTCCGTTAGTTCGAGATACACTAAAGTCGCATTCGATTGAATTTTGCCATTAATTAGAATCCGAACTGGATATCGAAGTTTCAAGATTTCCATGACTAATTTGTCGGACGTCGTCTTGTTAAACGTGGCCAATTATCGGGTTGATCAGAAATTTGGAAAAAGAAAAATTGGGCAAAATATTTTGTGGCTAATGTTGGACCTCCCCCTCGCTCCTCTCTCTCTCCTCTCTCTCTCTCTCTCCTCTCCTTCTTTCCCGCTGACCTCCCACGCTGCCCCCACTTGTTGACTGCTTTTCCGCTGACTTCTTCCTTCCCTCACGTGATCGCCTGTTTCGCCTTGAACCCATATTGTTGCCGACTTGCTGCGCATTCTTCGCTTCACGCTGCCGCTGCCCATGCCTTTGACTCTCACCCACTCCTCTCTCTCTTCTTCTTCTTCTTCTTTTCTTTTCCTTCTTGGCAGTTGCTGCTCTTCGTGTGTTCTGTTTCTGCTCCACTGGTTCTACTTCGCTGCTGCTTCTATTTCTTTCTTGGGCTGATGTTTCTGCTTCACTGCTTCGGTTTCTTGCTGCTGCTCACGGCTTGACCAACCCCTTTTCCCTCTCGTCATCACCACCACCCACGATCACCCTGACACCATCACCGACCACTTGAGCTGCCACCTGTCGTCCACCCTCACTGTTGCTTCACCGAAGTAGCCGTTGCCGTGCTAAGGCTCTCTATTGCTCCCGTTGCTCGGTTTTCTTGCTTAGGCTAAGAGTAAGTGTTCCCTAAGCCTTAGTTAGGATAATGGGTTACTAATGGACACGTTAGGGATGGTTTAAGGGCTGTGGATAGTTGGTTTAGTGGCTAGTTATACTTGGTTGGTGGTGCTTGTTGGTTGATTTCCGATAGGGTTGCTGCTGCGTAGCTGGACTTTGCTATTTTCTCTTTGACTGTTGTGGGCCGAATTTGTGAAAGTGTTATTCATGAAAGTTGTTTATAACATCTTGAAGTATGACATATATTAAATCTATAATTTTTGGAGATCATTTGGGGTCATTCGAAAGTCCATTTTCGGACAGTCTCAAAACTGCCGGAGTTACTGTTCACCCGACCTTTTGGTCTTTCCGATTTTCTACAAATTTTTGCAGTCCTCGTTTCAACAAACTTCCTTCACAAAAATTGTTAAAAACATTTTTTTCTATGACATATAAAAATGTCAGAGCTTTTCAAAGTGATTTGGGTACTGAATGAGTTGTATTTTGATGGTGTGAGGGGCTGTCCGAGCGAATCGGGTTCTGTCCGGATTTGAGTATCAAAACGAGGCATTTAAAGTTAGAACTGGATTTTGTATCCTTCATGAAAAATGTTTACCAAGATGTTTTGTACAACATATCCAAATTTCAGAATTTTTGGAGTTGATTTACTATTTATTTCAAATGGATTTCGGTCACTACGCAACTGACCGATTTGGACCCGGTTTTGTACATTCTCGGTTTTTCTCTCTTGAGAATTATTCGGTGTTATCATGGCATTTTGACGGATTTAGTTGACATTGAGCTAATTTACAAAGATAAGAATTGGTAATGATTGCTGAGGTGTGTACATGGTCACGACACGTTCAGTCCAGGCCGGAGTTCTAGACGATGCCCGGCGGGAGTTCGGATGCCATCTTGTTCCTGGGGTTGCCGGGGGGGTGTTCGATCCCAGACGATGCCGATCGCGGTGGAGGCCGGATCGATGCTCCTAAGTGGAATGCCGTTGGGTACCCGACTTGCCGGGGGGTGTTCGATCCCTAACATTGCCGTCGCCGACATAGCGGGACGATGCCTGGTTACGCCAAAAGACCGGCGGGAGTTTAGTGGCCCGAGGTGTCATTAATAATCTAGACTTAAGGAGTGCAATTTGCATTGGGGAATGCTTTGCCTGAGTTAATTGATGAGCACATCTAGATTATTAACCGTGTTATGCATGATTATGCCTTGAATTGCGTTGTACAAGCTTGATGAGCAATTGGCCATGTTGTGGCGGGATTCTAACGTGCAGGGCTTACATATGTGCCGAGGCGAGATAAGGGTGCCTGTGATTGTTATGACATGTTGGATGTCGGTATTGCATGATTAGGATTGTTCGGAGGTACGCGTTAGACTAAGCAAGGCTTAGGTAATTACTTATTGAGATTTATCTCATCTCCCATTTTTTAAACATTTTCAGGCTTGGAATGACGAGTAGTCGTCATGTGCAGTTCGGAGTTCCGGGGTGATGTTGGACATTGGATGTATCATCCTTTTGGATGCCTTGTTGTAGAGGAGTTTAAGTCAACCTCCCTTTTGTATCCGTGGCCTAGTTAGGAAGTGGCTTCGTGTGAGGCTTGTAATTGTGTAAACCTCCTTGAGTTATCTTTGTGAGCTTATAATGACTTGCCGGTTTTTATGGGAAGTATTTTCCTTACTATCCCGTTTATTTGAATGTTGTATGGAGTATTCGTATTCGCTTCCGCGTGCGTTTAATCACTAGTGTTTCGATTGGGTCGGCGACAAGTCATGGGATGTCGCATACTTGATGACCTCGGAAGGATGTTGCGTGCTCGATGGGGTTCGGGCCGTGACATCCTCGTTGAATTGGAATCAAAGCATGGTTAGCTCGATCCAAGTTGGTCGAGACTTGGAGTGATAAGGACGATGACTTTGGGGTAGTCACTTAGGGAAACCTGTTTGATCACAAGTTTAGAATGCTTAATGCATGCCCTATGAATATGTGCTTGTGATTGCTAGATGCTTGCTTGGTGATGTTCGTGATTGCAGGCACTGCAAAGAGTACGGTAAGATTGAGAATCCTACTAGTTATATGCTCTTGATGCTTGTTTTGGTGGCTGCTTGTCCTATGCTCATTGTCGTGATTTACTGCCTAGAACTACTAGACTTGAGTAGATATGGCTTAGGTCTCGAATTCCTGGATGAAATTATAGCAGTTTAGGTGTCTGGTGAGAGAACCCTGTGAGAATGAGCAGCCGAGGAAGGGGGACAAGGGGCCGATAGGGTTCACGAGCTAGAGCTGTCGTGGATCACAGAGTGGATGAGATTTTGAGGGTACTTGCAGAGATTGGAAACTTGATGGGTAGGCAGACTCAAGAACAAGTTGCTACTATTACTACTAATACTGAGGCCGTTGTTGCCGCTATCAATAGGGCTAATGGAAATAATGGGAATAACGGAAATAATAGGAATAATGGTAATCATGGGAATGGAATCGCCTTATGCACCAACTGATGGAGCAGTTCTTAAAGCTGAAACCGTCCAAGTTCAACGGGAAGGGAGATCCCGAGACTGCTACTATCTGGGTTCAAGAATTGGAGAAAGCCTCTACACTGCTGGAGTACACGGAGGAAGAAAAGGTGACCCTAGTGGTGTATCAACTTCAGGGTGTAACAAATGATTGGTGAAGGCCACCCGAGGTAAGGTTTTTCCTATAAGCACGATCCCAAATTGGACTGCCTTCGTTGAGACCTTCAATGGGAAATACTTCTCTGAGACTGCACAAGAACAGAAAATGGCAGAGTTTTTACAACTTTGTCAAAACCAGATGACTCTGGATCAGTACGAGGCGGAATTTGCAAGATTGTCTAAATTCGCACCAAGAATGGTGGAAGAACCTATGGACAGGGCGAGGAGGTTCCAAGATGGACTGAAACCAAATCTCTGTAGTCAGTTGATACTCCTGAATCTAAGGGACTATAATGAGCTCTACAAGAGGGCTCAAATGGTTGAGCGGGACATGACAGAAAGGACTGCCACTTCTAGATCGCAGTACGCGCCGGCTAAGGACAATAGAAACTTTGGAAATAAGCCTATGACTGGGAATAGGCGATTTGTCCCTCCAGTGAGAAAGAACTTTAGAAAGCTGAGCTACTACTCTAACGTTGCATGTCGGTCTTGTGAAAGGAGGCACGGGAATAGCCCTTGCCCAGGTGGACCTGGAGCGTGTTTTGGAAGTGACTAACATGGTCACCAAGTGAGAAACTGCCCAAAATGACAAGCTAGGCCGCCAATGCAACAAAAGCAACCACGGGTAAGACATCAAGTGGAAGCCGCCTTGCAGAATAACCAGGACCGACTGCAGGTGTAACATCCTCAATTTCAGTTCCTAGGAAATGGCTATGGTTTAAGTTTGGTAGTTTTCCAATCGGAACTAAATTTTTTACTCTTGTTTTGGAAAGCCTAATTTCGGATCCTTTGTACCCCTTCATTTTGTTATTTTTGCGGAGACTTTTGTGATCCGAATTTCCAAACACTTTCTTCTTGAAAGTTTCTCCAAACATCTTAAAGTTTTACATACTTTAATTTCAGAATTTTTTTGGAGTTGATATGAGTGGTACGATGGCCTGATTTTCGGACCGTGTAAAACTGCCCCAGAATTGATATTTCGGTGATGTTCACCCTTTCTTTATTTTCTACAAGCTTTTCTGTGCCGATTTTGGAAACGTTTCCTTCACAAAAGTTGTTGATAACTTCTTTTTCTCTAACGTATATAAATTTGGGAATTTTTCGAGATGATTTGGATTCGGGACAGAGCTTACTTTGAGAAACAAGAATTCTGTTCCAATAAACTATTTTTAGTCTGTCTTTGAGCTACTAAAAATGGTGTTTACAGAAAGATTCCGAATCTGTGTTCTTCACGAGAAATGTTTGTTAAGGCCTTGTTTATGACATATTCAAATTTGAGAATTTTCGGAGTCCATTTACTATATTTTCAAGTCCGATTTCGTGAACAGTGCAAAGCTGTCCGGTTTTGTCAGATTTCAAAGATTTATCAATTTCTATATGAGAACGTTGGAATCTCAACTTGATGTCTTTTGGTGATATTTGAGGACATTCCTACGCCGAACCTTGGGTTGATCGAGATTATTATGTGTGCTTATCATGGAAAACCCTAAGAAAATCTTGTGATTAAGTATGGCGCGGGTTGTGGTTTTTGTGCCAATTGGTCTATTTCGCGTGACCCGATTGGGCCGAGTCATTTGCGTGAGAATTTAGTAAATCCAGAAGACTCTAGGGAGTCCACGGTCTGGAAATTGTTAGAAGAACCTAGAAGCCTTGACCAAATCAAAGCTTATCCTCCAAGTTTCATTAATTGGTTTAGACTTTTAGGTCATCTTCATGATGACCCTTATTAATTAAGGTAGACTTTGGTGGCCCTCCATGATGACATGCATTAATGGTCTTGAGTAGTGACCAAGAAAAGTCTTCTATTAATAAAGAGAGAGAGAGAGGGGAGTTGGCCAAGAAGAGAGTCGGCCAAGAGAGTTGAAAGAGAGGAAGAGATAAGGATCATTAATGGCTTGTATTAATTGAAGTTAGACTTTGGGGCACATCATCATGACAAGCCTTGAATGATTTTTGACTTTAGGGACCCCTCCATCATGACACACATTAATGGCCATAAGACTTTAGGGACCCTTGTGAAAATGACATTTTTGTCTCTCTTGACCTTGGCTTGCTATATGTAAAGAGGAAGAGAAAGAAAAGCCTCACGTGAAGTTCCCCTACCCCCCCTCCTCCTCTCTCACGCCATCCTCCATTCTCATGCCACTCTCAAGCCATCACCGTCTTGTTTCTTGGTTCCTTGCTTCTTGTTTTCACACCAAGTGAAAGAGAGAACGAGAGCCTCACCACCTAGCCCTCATCTTCCTTGTTGTGCGGCCACATAAAAAGCTCACCAACTAGCCCGTGCCTCTTCTTGTTGTTCGGCAACTAGGGAGCTCAAAGTCGACAACCCACCTTCCACATGCTCAAGCAACACGCCAAGAATCGCTCGAGAGTCATTAAAGTTCTTGTGTTCTTCACACGTAACCCGTTTCTCTAGTTCTTGTTTGAAATCATTGGGTAAGTGAATTCCTTAATATCGGGAAAGGATGTTGAGATGCGTTGTGACGTGGTTTGCTTGGACCGTTTCTCGGTTGTTTGGTTGGTCGTAGTTGGTTCATTTTCTTAGTTTGATCATGTTTCATGTTTGATGTTGTTTGGAGATAGAACCGAGCCTTGGTTGGTAAAGTGTACATGATGTGGCCGTGCATGATGTTCTCTTGTTTGAACTTTGCTATTGATCTGCCATCGGTGCGGGTGTGGTAAGGGCCGACTTATGTTAACGGCGATCGATATATCCTCGCTTGATATTAGTGTTTTCACTTGCTGAGTCTCCCCGACTCATTCCCCGTTGTTTCCCTTTTTCAGGTCCGTAGGATGGCATCTCCCCCAGCTCGTGTTGGCAATCCCGTGGAGTAGAGAGCCGAAGTGCTCACCGTGATGGATGACAGAGAAGACCGCGCCTACTGCCGAATCACGACGCTTGCGATGTTCGATGTGGGCCTAACGGACCTGGTACCTCATCCATACGTGGCGTGGTATCGCTATGTGGACGGAGAATAGGTTGGATCCCTATGGGGGTTCAACGGTGCTTTGGCGGTGCGTGCGGGCTGGCTCCGGGATAAAGTCACAGGTGGGATGTGAGATGGCCAGGCGGACGGGACCGGGGTAGAGGTGAATAAGCGAGGAGCGAGAAGCCATAGTGGGTATAGGATAACCCAAGTCAAGTTTTGCTATTCATAGTGCGTGTGAAATATGTGTTATTTGCTAAGGGCTTGTTAAAACATGTTTGCATGCCCTGTAAACATAAGGTTTATTCATGATGCTGCTTGTCTAAATTTCCGCTGTTGTTCTAAACGTGATTGTCCCGAAATTATGCTTCCGCTTGTGTAAAGAAAGATAATAATAAATGGGACGTCACGTTAATGACCCCGAGGTGGGGGTGTCACAGCAGGCACAATGAAGGGTGTGCGCTATAGCTGGGAAGGAAGCGAAGGATTTGTCTTAAAGGTCTAAATGCGACGTGTGATAATATTTGGTGTATTACAAGCAATTTTTGAAGTTATAGATTGAATGGTCATGTAAGACGTATAATTGCTCATGGTGAATATACGTAATCAGTTTATGGATTTCGAAATTACTGATGATATCTTTTGACAAGATTTTGATGAATGAGTTATCGCTTGGAAATTTCGGATTTTGTAAAGAACCAGGGTGATTTGTTTTGAGAGACCGTTGGATTGAAATTTGATGGTTTGGGCTCTGTCTTTAAGGTGTGGAGAGATAGTTATCTTGTGATTAACTTATTGGATGAGGGTTGCCAAGGTTATTCGTTAACCATGATTGACTAGCTAGGTAAGGAATCAAGGCTAGAGGACATAGCCGAGGCGTGTAATCTTCTCGATGTCTTTGCTCAGGAATTAATGGGATTACCACCTAAGAGAGAAGTGAGAGTTGTAATTGAGTTGGCCATGGGACAGAGCCAATCTCTAGAGCGCCCTATAGGATGGTTTTGTCAGAATTAGAGTTAGAGGTGCAGATGCAAGAGTTGTTGAATAAGGGATTTGTTCGCTTGAGTGCGTCACTGTGGGGAGCACTAGTGTTGGTTGTAAAAAAAAAATTGGTTCATTGCATGGGTGCATTGACTATCGGCAGTTGAATCAAGTGATCGTCAAGAACAAGTATCCGTTACCAAAAATAGATGACTTGTTCAATCAACTGCAAGGGGCTTCAGTATTCTCCAAAATAGACTTAAGAACGGGCTACCATCAACTAAGGATTAAGAAGGAGGATATACCGAAAACGGCCTATCGGACGAGATATGGACATTACGAGTTACAGTGATGCCATTTGGACTGACTAATGCCCCAACTGCCTTTATGGATTTAATGAATCGGGTTTTTAAGGAATTTCTGGATCAGTTCATCATCGTTTTCATCAACGACATTTGGCTATATTCGAAAAGCCCTAAGTAGCATGAGCAACATCTAAGGATGGTTCTACAGATCCTAAGAGAACACGCACTCTATGCCAAGTTTAGTAAGTGAGAGTTTTGGCTAAATCGGGTAGCATTTCTTGGACATGTGGTTTCTGGAAATGGAATTTCAGTGGACCCAACAAAGATTGAGGCAATTACGAATTGGTCGAGACTGACGACAGTGACAAAGGTTTTGAGTTTCTTAGGCTTGGCAGGGTATTATCAAAGATTCGTGGAAAGGTTCTTCGCGATAGCTACTCCTTTGACGCGTCTACTAAAGAAGGAAACAAGGTTTGAATGGACATATAAATGTGAGAGGAGTTTTCAGGAGCTTCAGCACAAGTTGACTACCGCACCCGTGTTGACAATATCGTCAAGTCCCGGAGAATATGAAATCTACAGTGATGCATCGCTAAAGGGATTATGATGCATGTTAATACAGCATGGAAGAGTGGTTGCATACACATCACGACAATTGAGGCCTCCGAGCTAAATTACCCAACGCACGATTTGGAACTTGCGGCTATCATCTTCGCGCTAAAGATTTGGAGGCATTATTTATGTGGAGAAAGCTTTCAAATCTACACAGACTATCAGAGCCTAAAGTACTTATTTTCCCAAAAGAAATTGAACATGAGACAATGTCGTTGGATGGAGCTTCTGAAGGATTATGATTGCGATATTCTGCACCACCCCAGAAAAGCCAATAAAGTGGCGGATGCACTTATTCGGAAGTTAAGCATTGCGCAAATGATTTTTAAAGAGTGGACCCTACTCGAAGGGGCGGAATTCAATTTTGAGGTAAGTCGCCTCTCGAGTCTGTTAGCTACCTTGAGTATTGAACCGAAGATTCAGGTGAGGATTAAAGTATTACAATCTACGGACCATGAGATTCAAAAGATTTTGAGTATGGATACAGCTAAGAGGAAAACCGACTTTCAAGTGTCCGAGGATGAAATCTTAAAGTTTCGTGGATGTTTGTGCGTGCCCAATGACGCGGATCTTAAAGAGGAAATATTAGCAGAAGCTCACCGTAGCAACTATAGCATTCATCCGGGCAATATGAAAATGTATCAAAACTTACGTCAGCACTATTGGTGGAATGGAATGAAAGTGGATGTAGCTAAGCAGGTTGCCAAATGTTTAACGTGCCAACAAGT